CTCAAAATTTCCTAAGTTATCATCCAATTTCATCAATAATTTTTATGACATTAATCACTCTAAAACATCATTCTAAGACACATTTGTCTAATACACATTTTTAATTTGAGCTCTCTAATTACATCAATTCTTACAAACCACTCTTAGGTCACCAAAATCCAATCCAAATCAAAACCACAAATGGGTGAGAATGCTTACCACCAATCAACTCCTAAACAACCCAAGAGTGAGTTTCAACCTTTGAACGGTCCAAAACCACCACCAACCACCACCAAAAATAACAAAACCGCCGCCCAAAGGAAGGAGATGATCTCCACAATCACTCAATTTCGTGGCTCACTCAAGGAAGGAAAGTTGTTCACAAGGTGATTTGGAACAACTTTGATGTTCAACACTTTTGGATTTGATCAAGTCTTGGATGTGTTTTGGTTGATTTTCTTTTTGGAAGCAAAGCTTCCTCACTCTTTCATGGAGGAAAGGCCGCGAGTTTGGGGTGGGGGGAGGAGAGAGAAGGACCAGATTTTCATGTTGTCCAAGTGGCAAAGTCCACTTAAGTGAGATGGGCCCCACCGCCACCTCACGCGATTTCAAACGAATTTAAATCTCCCGCCTATTCCGCTAAACGTCCATAATTTCATAAACTATTTAGAAACTCTAAATTTTAACATTAATCATTGTCCTTTAATTTCCCTTGATCAGATGAATCCGGAATTTTCTGGTCGTTCGGAGAAATCGCAGTTTTAAGCTGTTATGCGCGCTGTGGGCACGCTTCCCCAAGCATACTAATTTCCATCAATTTTCACCAGAAATCACATTTCCTAGTCCTATTTACCATTTATAAGTTATATCCAAACCTAGAGCTCAAAATTCATTCAGCACACTATACAGTGCAACTGTACCGCGGTATTTTTACCTGGTAAAAACACTATTCACCAAATTTTCAGAAACTTGCCTAACCACTCAAATTTTTGTTCTGAATCCATTTCCAAGGTTATTTTTCCCATTTGAGACCTCCTACTCAATTTTACCTTCCTAGGGTTACGTCTTTGACCAATTACCGTTTTACCCTTCCTTTGTATTTTGGCCTTAATTTCAGGATTTTCACTAGTCCTACCCTTTAATCCATATTTAATATATTAATATATGTTTTAGAAATGCGAGGTGTTATAGAATGTGTACAGATTACATAGATCTCTATAAATATTGTCCAAAAGATTTTTATCCTCTCCTACCATTGACAAGCTAGTTGACAATTCAGCAAGATATCGAGTCCTCTCATTTATGGATGCATATTCGGAGTACAATCAAATTCCAATGTTTAAACCGGATGAGGAAGCAACAACTTTTATTACAAAAAAGGAAAACATGATGTTACAACATGATGCCTTTCGGTCTTAAAAATGCAGGCGCAACGTACTGGCATATGATGAACAAGGTGTTTAGCAAACAAATTGGTCACATGCTTGAAGTTTATATTGATGACATGATTGTCAAAACCGTTGCAACTCTACAACACCCAGAAATTTGGAACAGGTGTTTCAGCAATTGCACAAGTACAAATTACGACTCAATCCTGCTAAATGCGCATATTGTAACACCCCGTGTATACCCGGTTTGTTAACATGTCATCGTATTAAGCGTTGCTTAATTAAAATGCGGAATAACTTTTTCTTTTCAATTATGACGTCATTATCGTTTACCAAGTTGATTACTTAATCATTTTCAAAACAACGTCTGTATGTAAATTGCTATCAAATAACTAACTGAAATACCTCATATATTAAGTAACTGTGTCTCTAGTCACGAAACTACAACACGTAGACCAGACCATCCTGATAGTTTATACAACTCAAAACTACAAGCACGACTAACATCTGAAAGTAACTAGCCTTGAAGGCCGTAGCATGTGAGAGGGAAAAACAAAATTTTTCTTATGCGGAATCACACATGCAATCAAGAATCATGCTTTATGACAGTATGATGTTACCTTTGTTTGTGAGTTCAAAACTCCAAGACGATCAGTGTTAGGTTTGAAGGGTTCAAACCCTCTAACGTTGATCCACACCACCTACGTCAAGATGCAAGAACTCTTCTTGTCAAGCCACCAATGGACCACCACAAAAAGGCTTGCTATGTGCTCAATAGGTGAAGAAGGAGTCTAGGTAAATGTGTTTAGAAGAGTGAAGTCTTCAGCATGAAAACTTCACAAGAGTGGGAATGGATTGGAGTAGAATTGGCTAGGTCCTTTTTGAAAACCTTAAGGAGAACTTACCCCTAGTATGCGCACAAGAGAGTGAGAGAGTTAATTAATCAAATCAGATTTTTAACTTAAATCCATGATGTAGGTGGCGCACAAGAGAGGATAGAAAGGTGGAGTTGTTTGCAATTCAAAATTCCCAACAACCCACCTTTTAATCCTCTAGTCAAAATTCTGATCCAATGGCCATCATATGGCCAGCCATTATGCGCCCCTATTCAGCCCAAAAAGGGGTCCAGATTCGTTGAGCAGTTGCATTCAAATTTGAACCAACTCACTCACTGATTCTCTCAACCAACCAAATTTGATTGGAGCTTGTTTGGTTGACTAGATGACACTCATTGTAATAACCCTAAATTATGTAGACTTATTTATTAATGAATCTTGTGTGGGCAAATTAATTAATGATAGCTATATGTGGATAGTCCAAAGTTAAGTATGGTTAAATAAATTAAAAACCCGAACATAATGGGATAAACCCACACCAAGTAATGGCCTTAATGGCCCAAACTCATAAACTTTTGAAATTTTATGATCTTAGACTAAGCCCCCACACCAATGATAAACCCAAGTAGCCCAACCTAGGGTGAACCCAACCCAAAGAGACTCCTTGGGTCGAACCCAATATGTAAAGGAATAAGACTTGGCCCATTTATTAATTTCAATGGAAATCCAACCCCAAAAGGCCAAGTGGGCCGAACCCATTTCCTAATGTGGCCTTGGCCCAAAAGCAAAGTAATCCCCCCATTAAGAAGCCCAAAACCGTGGACCCCCTCTAGTGGGCAACAAACCCAAGTCCATGAACCTATGATGAGTGACGTGGCACTTGATGGATGGATGCCACTACATGCAACCAATAAGGGAAAAGAATAGAATGGAACATGGCTATTTTCAAGGCAAGCCGCGGCCATAATGGAAGCAAGAAGACATGAAGTGTCTTTCCTTCTTCCTAGGTGACACATTAAAAGATCATAAACTTTTCCCTTCTCCCTAGGCTCACACCAAAGGTTCACAAACCCAAAGCCTTCCCCAATTATGACTAGAGAGTGGATCCACTTTTCCCCATCCCCCTAGGCGCAATAATTATCATGAAAAGGGAAAGGCTTGTTTTACACACTTTATGTTGAGTGTGGAACACTCAAGGTGACCCCCAACCCCATGCATTGGGAAAATCACACTGACACCTTCTCCTAGGGTTTCAATTAAGGAAAGTTAAAAGGCAAAAGCCTTACACACTAACCCATATTCCCCTATTAATGATTAAAGCATTGAAGTTTATCCCTTTAAAGAAGGCGCTACTTACAAGAGTTCCTCCTCCCCATGCACATCACTCCTCAAGCAATTAATGTTGAACCTTATCTTACCAAAATAATCAAGATCTGCTGCTGACATTAGGAAGCACAAACCACCCTCATTCCAAGGAGGACACAATCCAATCGTGGCTGTGCAGTGGCTGCAGGCCATGGACAAAATATTCAGAGTGGTCCAATGCACCGAAGATCAAAAGGTACTATTTTCGGTGTACATGTTGGAAGGAGACGCCCATCATTGGTGGGCTAATGCGTCTCAACCTTTGGAGATGCAAAATGCGGCGATTACTTGGGCCGTATTTGAAGAAATGTTTCTGGAGAAGTATTTCCCGATGTCAATCCGGGACAGCAAGCAAGGCGAATTCGACCGACTCGTACAAGGGACCATGACGGTGGACCAATACCACGCTAAATTCAACGAACTACTCCGATTGGCGACTTACTGAGGAACCATGCCCATGCCGGATTTTCTGACGGCAAAATTCCAAAGGGGTCTGTCCGCTAGGATTGCGGAATTGGTAGCTGGCAACGACACCTGGGACCTGGCCACCATAGTAAATCGATGTAGAAAGGTGGAGGCGGTCAGTTTGCAAACAAGGAAGCCCACGGAGACAAGCGAATCCGGATACAGAACTCCGATGACTAGGAACGGACCATGGAGAGGAAAGAGCGGAGGCAGACCATGGCAGCCCAGGCATGATGACCACAAGCAAGGAAGCACGGTCATTTGTAAAAACAGGAAGAGTCGGGTCCGACACGCTCCGACACGGTGTCGGACACGCGGTTGACTTTTTCCGACACGTTGACCATTCCGACACGCGAATTTGACCGTGTCCGACACAGTCAAATGGCATTTTCGTAATTTTTTTTTTTTTTTGAAAAAAAAATTATTTTTTTTAAAAGTTAAAATATATTAATAAAGCTTCAACTTGATCATATCAATTTTATTTTTTTGTCTTTTTTCCCCTTAAGTAGATAAGAGATCATCTCAGCATCATTGTTATCAATTCTTATCACGCTCTTGTTGTATCTTCTTCTCTCTGATCTCTCTCTAATATGATTTGATCTCTCTATCTGATATTATATCTCTCTCTCATCCCAGTTCTTATTTTTTTGATTAAAGCTTCCATCTTTATAACGTATTGATGGGTATTATTAATTCAGTTTCATTTTTTTGTTCAATTATTAAATATTAAATAAAATATACATATTAAAAATATTATTTAATATTAAAACTTGTCCCAACGTGTCAAAATCTATAATTTTTTAGGATTGACGTGTCGGAGTGTCGTGTCGTGTCGTGTCACGTGTCGTATCGGTGCTACATAGACCACAAGTTTAAGAGGCCCGGGTACCCCCGAGGAAACAACAGCAGGGCTCCCAATTGCCCCAAATGTAGGAAGGCACATTTCGCAAAATGTTTGAGCGGATCGATGAAATGCTTCAAGTGCGGCCAAGATGGACACTTCATCAAAGATTGTCCACAATGGAGGGAACAACAGCCAGCAGCTGAGGCACCAAGAATTGGCAGAGTTTACACACTGGATCAACATGTGGTGGACCAGGCAGCCGAACTAGTTAAAGGTACGATCAATATATGTGGTGAAGAACTATCTATTTTATTTGACTCTGGTGCGACCAATTCCTTCATTGCCGACTATGTGGCAAATGCATTTAACTTAACTATGAGCCCAATGCAAGTCACCTCTGCGACGGGGGAAGTGACAACGTCTCACTTCATATGTAGAAGTAGAAATGTAGAATTCAGATACAAAGGAAAGAAGTACAACCAAGACTTCATAATTCTCCCCTTAGCCAAACTAAACCTAATATTGGGAATGGATTGGCTGGCCAAACAGCGCGTAGTAATTGACTGTAGCAGCCGAAGTATAATAGTCGACGGAGAAATGATGGTTACCCCACTCCCCAGTACTTCACCGGTCGAATCAAGAGATTGTACTTTCATGCAAGCTGGCCTCAATGCAATCCCCAATGCAAGTCACCTCTGCGACGGGGGAAGTGACAACGTCTCACTTTATATGTAGAAATGTAGAATTCAGATACAAAGGAAAGAAGTACAACCAAGACTTCATAATTCTCCCCTTAGCCAAACTAAACCTAATATTGGGAATGGACTGGCTGGCCAAACAGCGTGTAGTAATTGATTGTAGCAGCCGAAGTATAATAGTCGGCGGAGAAAGGATGGAGACCCCACTCCCCAGTACTTCACCGGTCGAATCAAGAGATTGTACTTTCATGCTAATAGCTGGCCTGGTAGGTGCAAGCGAGACGCCGCTGATGAACATTCCCGTGGTCAAAGAATTCGAGGATGTATTTCCTGACGACATTACCACCTTTCCCCTTGAAAGGGAAGTAGAGTTCTCTATTGAACTTATGCCCGGGACTGGGCCAATCTCAATTGCACCCTACCGCATGTCTCCCCTTGAACTAGTAGAATTGAAGAAGCAGCTAGAAGACTTGCTAGGGAAGAGTTTCATCTGACCCAGTGTGTCCCCATGGGGAGCACCAGTTCTATTTGTAAAGAAGAAGGACGGGTCAATGAGACTTTGCACGGACTATCGGCAACTCAACAAAGTGACTGTCAAGAACAGGTACCCCTTGCCCCGTATCGAGGACTTAATTGATCAACTAAGGGGTGCAAAGGTGTTTTCGTAGATCGACCTCCGGTCAGGATACCATCAGATCCGAATGAAGCCGGAAGACATCCCTAAGACAGCCTTCAGATCAAGATACGGACACTACGAGTACTTGGTCATCCCCTTCGGATTGACTAATGCCCCGACAGTATTCATGGGCTACATGAATCCGATCTTCCAACCTTACTTGGATCCATTCGTGGTCGTATTCATCGACGACATACTAATATACTCGAAGAGCAAAGAAGAGCATGCAGAACACTTGAGAATTGTGCTACAAGTATTGCGGGAGAAACAACTACATGTGAAACCATCGAAGTGCGAATTCTGGCTTCTAGAGATCCAATTTCTTGGACATGTAATCTCAGATAAAGGAGTAGCAGTGGACCCCAGTAAGATCGAAGCAGTAGTAGACTGGGAACGACCAAAGACTGTCACGAAGATAAGGAGCTTCCTTGGACTAGCAGGATATTATCGGAGATTCATTGAAGGGTTCTCGAAGAGGGTGTTGCCACTTACCCGATTGACAAGAAAGGAAGTCCCTTTCGTGTGGACCCAAGAATATGAAGCCTGTTACCAAGAGTTAAAAAGAATGCTGACAACAGCCCCAGTACTGACGCTGCCAGACCCAGAGGAACCATTCGAGGTATATTGTGATCCTTCCAAGATAGGCTTAGGATGTGTACTTATGCAACACGGCAGACCAGTAGCGTATGCATCCCGACAACTGAAGCCGCACGAGGAAAACTACCCCACACACGATCTAGAATTAGCTGCGATCGTGTTCTCCTTGAAGATATGGCGTCATCACTTGTACGGCGCAACTGTAACAGTGTACAGTGATCACAAGAGCCTCAACTATTTATTTGATCAAAAAGAGCTGAACATGAGACAACACCGTTGGATGGAGTTCATAAAGGACTACAACTTTGAATTGCAATACCATCCCGACAAGGCGAATGTAGTCGCAGATGCCTTGAGCAGAAAAACCAGAGGAGTTACGAGCATGATGATAGCCGAGCATCGACTGATAGAGGAATTCCAGAACTTGAACTTAGCAGTGTTAAATAGCGAATGCGAGGCTGAAATTGGGCGGTGCAGATCTTAGACGAGCTACTAGAAAGGATCAAACATGCTCAGCAAGCCATCGATTGCTTGAAGAGACTAAGGAACCAATCTGGTGTTAGCCTGAACCAGCAAGGCATAATTACTTTCCAAGGGAGGATAGTTGTCCCTATAAAACTCCTGAGGGAGGAAGTCATGGAGCTGGCGCATAATAGTCAATATTCAATACACCCAGGAGCTACCAAGATGTACGCAGACTTGAAGAAGAACTTTTGGTGGAAAGGAATGAAAAGAGACGTGGGAAGGTACGTGAGCAAATGCATGGTGTGCCAGAAAGTAAAGATTGAACATCAACGACCAGCAGGCACCCTACAGCCCTTTAGCATCCCGGAGTGGAAATGGCAGAGTATATCTATGGACTTCGTAACAGGTATACCCAGAACTCAAGCAGGCTACGATGCCATCTGGGTGGTGGTCGACAGACTGACCAAATCAGCACACTTCATATCAGTAAAAGGGGCTTACACGACAGAGAAGTTGGCTCAGATCTATGTGAAGGAAATTGTAAGGTTGCACGGCGTCCCTGAGAGAATAATCAGTGATCGAGATCCTAAGTTTACATCCCGATTTTGGTCTACATTGCAACAAGCATTCGGGACCCAACTGCGATTGAGCACAGCTTATCACCCCCAGACTGACGGACAGACTGAGAGGACAATACAAACAGTTGAGGATATGTTACGGGCTTGCGCTTTAGAGAAGGAAGGTTGTTGGGATCAGTACCTGCCATTGGCAGAACTCTCTTACAATAACAGCCATCATGCCAGTATCGGTATGGCCCCGTACGAAGCACTTTATGGAAGAAGGTGTCGTACACCTATATGCTGGGAAGAAGTTGGCGACAGAGAGTTGTTCGGACCAGACCCGATCAGAGAAACGACAGAACAGATCAAGATGATTCGCGACAGGATACGGAAAGCCCAAGATCGACAAAAGAGTTACTATGACCTGAAGCACCGACCTTTGGAGTTTGAAGTAGGGGATCATGTATTTATCAAACTCTCCCCTGTTACTGGTGTTGGTAGAGCTATTGGTGTACGGAAGTTAAGTCAACGATATATCGGTCCCTATCAGATTCTAAAAAGGGTAGGACCGGTAGCCTATCAATTAGCATTACCACCCAATCTGGCGAACCTTCACGATGTATTTCATGTAAGCCAGTTGAAGAAGTATTTGGCGGATCCCTCCCATGTTGTATTACCGGATACTGTTGAAGTAAGACCCAACTTGAAATCCTGATGGTACCCTACAAGATTCTAGATAGAGAAGAAAAGCGACTCCGCAGCAAGGTGATTCCGATGGTGAAGGTGCAATGGCAAGGAAGGACCCCTGAAGAAGCAACCTAGGAACGTGAAGATGAGATCCAACGGCAATATCCCGACTTAGTTTAATTGTAATTTTCGAGGACGAAAATTTTATTAAGGTAGGGTGGATGTAATAACCCTAAATTATGTAGCCTTATTTATTAATGAATCTTGTGTGGGCAAATTAATTAATGATAGCTATATGTGGATAGTCCAAAGTTAAGTATGGTTAAATAAATTAAAAACCCAAACATAATGGTATAAACCCACACCAAGTAATGGCCTTAATGGCCCAAACTCATAAACTCTTGAAATTTTATGATCTTAGACTAAGCCCACACCAATGATAAACCCAAGTAGCCCAACCTAGGGTGAACCCAACCCAAAGAGACTCCTTGGGCCGAACCCAATATTTAAAGGAATAAGACTTGGCCCATTTATTAATTTCAATGGAAATCCAACCCCAAAAGGCCAAGTGGGCTGAACCCATTTCCTAATGCGGCCTTGGCTCAAATGCAAAGTAATCCCCCCATTAAGAAGCCCAAAACCGTGGACCCCCTCTAGTGGGCAACAAACCCAAGTCCATGAACCTATGATGAGTGATGTGGCACTTGATGGAAGGATGCCACTACATGCAACCAATAAGGGAAAAGAATGGAATGGAACATTGACATTCATAAAACCAGCTGGGTGAGGGGCAAGAAAGTTAAATATGATGCCCACACTTGTAAGAAGCTTCTAAAAATCCGACATTGTGATTACATTCATAAAACCAGCTGTGAGTTCAGAAAAAATTGGCAGAACATTGACATCCCTCCTAGGAGAAGCAGCCCAGAATTTGAGACTTGGACCAAAATGGGGGAAGCTGAGCCAGTATTGCAAACCATAGCCAAGCCCGGTGAAAAATGGGAGACAACCAAGGATAAGGTGAATCCTAAATTGCTTTTGTTGAGGCAGCTGAATGGAGAAGCTAGAGTCTGGTTCCATTTTGTTGTCTCAAATGTTATGCCCTCCTCTAACCAAGCGGAGGTAATTCTGATGAGACCTGTCTTGATTCACACTATCATGACCAAAGGGAAAGTGGAGCTTCCCATTCTTCTTCAGGACAGCATATATGATATGGCTCATTGGGTCATTGTTCTCTAATCCAGCTTATGTGCCAGAGAGCTGGTGTGGATATTACTGATAATAATGGGGTGCCAGTTAAATTGCACCCAATCATTGATGCCAAGCTGATTAGGGCACAGCTGAGGATTGGAGGAGAGGGACCCACAGGGCTGACACCTGGCAGGAAATCCATGGCTGAGGCAGATTCTGAGCTTGAAAAGAGGATAAGATCAGGGGAGCAGTGGCTGATCAACACTGACATTCGTATAGGGCATTTACGTCGTCGTCTCAAGTTTATGCAGACGAGTCAGCACTCATTTCAGACTCAAATGATTAAGATGCTGACAGATCTCTGTGAGGCCCAAGGCTTAGAGCCAGCTACATTCCAGCCTGCTGTTTACCCTCATTCCGACGAGGAGGATGCATTTGAGGCAGTTGTCCGAACCCATTATGACGATGATACTGATACGAGTGAAGCTGCTGATGCTGCTACTTCTGTCCATGCTGCTTAGGCCACTAAGGGAGAGACTCCTGCTGCCCAGACTGCTACTGATGCTACTGCCGCTGATGATCTGATTGCTGGTGATGCTTCCACTATGGAAGAAGACCAGGCCGCTGATAATGAGTACAACCTGTTGCCTGCTACTGATCCAGGATCAGATCTTCTCTTCACTGATGAGGAGGAGTCAGAGACTGACTAGTCTCCTAATGTTTTTACATTTTTTTTTGTTATATGGTTTTATTTTGGTTTACTTTAGCTACATTTTGTTATTTTGTTTATTTTGTACAATGGTTAAGTACATTGAGATTCACTGTTTTGATTAATACACATTTTGATAGTACTGATGCTAT